TTTTTGTTTTTATTTTTGCATGTTATCACTGTGCCCGTTTTTTGCTTTTATTCTTTGTTCCGCAAAGTGCGCTCTTTTAGTTTGTAGTGATGTGACAATATATGGCGGCCTTGTACACAAGAGGTTCTGAACAGGGGAAGTTGTAAGAAAGAAGATAAAAAAAAATGAATTATTTTTTTCTTGTTTTCTTCTGTTTTTTTCGCCTTTGCGCTCTGATATTCATGTGACGATATATATAATATATATCGTCAAACAGAGCTGCCCGGTAAACTGCAGGCAGAGAGGGTGAAGAGGACAACAAACGCGGGGCTGTAACAAACTGTGTTATCGGAGAGTCATGGACTCGTCATATTTTACTGCCCGGTGAACCATGGCAGAGAGGAAGAAGAGGACAACAAACGAGGGGCTGTGACAGACTGTATATGACATTAAAACTTCAAATGATAGGGACACCCTCGAATCAGCGCTTCCAAAAGGTGTCTGGCGGCGATGAGGAGCGGATTAAATCTAAAGAAGTCCTGAACCGGATGTGAGTACACACTGTCTGTGAAATTGGGCTCCGATTACTAGGTGTAATAAAAGCACCATGGTCTCCTCGAAACCCTTCGACATTACTTAGATATCTTGGATATTTATTTGAGATTGATATCTTGTATATATATTTGAGATTGTCCAATACAGTTGCCATTTTGGCTTAGGGCTGATGACATTCTAGCCATGTAAGTAAGCTATTGCATTGCAGATACATTGTACTATCACTTTACTATCATTCTAATACTGCCATTTTTTAACTTATTTCCCCTCTAGTTGTTACTCTAATTGCTTGGTGATTTGCTACTCTAGTGTTGGCAGAGTAAGTCCTATGAAGTCCTACAAGGTACTTGTTTCTGCTACTCTGTAATTATGGGAAAATAAAAGTTGTATGTGTGCCTCTGCCTGAGATGAGAAATGGAAGAAGGGGAACAACGAATACACGGTGTCAGATGATCTTTGGGGGCTGGTCCCATCAGCCTTTCTCCATCTAAATTCGTTAGGCATCGAGTCCGCTATTCCCCAAGTGAAAGGGTTGGGCATTGAAATCCGTTAATCCACGGCTGGAACTGAGCCAACTGGTGGAAGCCAAGCACCCACTGGTTGTACTACCGGTAGGTGCACTCTCAAAAAGGCTGGCCAGCTTTTCACCCAATTGATATCGGTAAAAAAGGCCGGCCAGCTTTTCACCCAATTGATATCAGTAACTGCACAAGCCAGGCAGTGGTGATCAGCTCATGTCAGCTGTCGTGTAACTTCCCTGCATGCATGTCTTGTCCAGAGGTTGCCCACGTCTCTATGAGGACATGCATGCAATAGCGACAGGTAATCTCTAGAGGCCCAGTCTGTAGGGCAGGAGGTTGAGCCTGCCAAGGGCGGAGGGGTTTATCTAACTAGGAAGCCAATAAAACTCCTGCCTTGATCCCTTCCCACGATCTTGAATACTTGAGCTCTAGTTCCAAGTTTGAATTTTTCTGCGTACATTTCGGCAAGAGAGTGACGTGAAATAGTGGAAAGATTACCGCATGATACGGTGTCTGTTCTGTGCGTGTTGGGACCACTCCTTCCATCCTCTCAGAATAGCAATAATCCTAAAGGTAGTTTCACTTTGGGGGAAGTGAATGCATTCAAAACATGGTTGTGGCTCCCTTCTATTTTTTTTTTTTATTATTATTTTTCTTTCCCTGGAACCTAGTGCCGGAATGAAATGGCATGTGTCGTTCTCCAGAAGACGGGGTTCAGAAAAGATGTTAATAGACTGATGTTCTTCCGTGGGACGTTCTTTCTCTCCGTCGATGAGCTAGCCTGTGTAAGTCTGACAGTGCATAAGATTCCCCTTGCCGCCTACCAGTTATGTAATCATGACTTCGTGTGGGTGGTTGAGATCCGCCTCCAGCAGAGGCCACCAGACCTTCACAACAGTTGCAGTGAATGTATTTTGTTTGTGTTGTACTCCCCGGTTACTTTTTATAGCCTGGTGAAACCATTTTGTATGTTTTATGTAGCATCCAACACATATTGCATCTACATGCTATTGCATCTATGCTATTGTGTCGATGCTATGGCATCAACGCCATTGCATCTACGCTATGTGCATCTATGGCCTCGACTGTGTGGATCACGTGTTGCTGGCTGCAAGCTATTGAGATAGTTTAGGTGGTCTAGGTCTGCGATAGCCGCAGCTCAAAATGCAAAATGCAAAATGCAAGTGGGGTTTGAACTGGTGACCAGCCACTAGGGTACAATCGCGACTGTGTGGATTGCTGACCTGCCGGAAGTTGTTGAAGTGGTCAAGGTGGAAGGTCTGGTTTGTATCGTATAGCCCCCGGCTCAAAATGAGCGCAGGGTTTGAGCCCATGACCCATGGGCCTAGTCAGGTTGTCCACGCTGCAAGGCGGTGTACTGGGCCTGGTGGGCTGTGCTGGCCCTCAATTGCCCACTTTTGATTTCTGTGGTCGATGCTTGATTAGTGGCATGGGGAGGAAGTAGCGGGTTGGGCAATTGAGCTTACATGGGGTGTGCTTGAATCTGAGGCGGTCACTTCAAGCGTACCAGGATGCCGGCGTGAGTAAGATCCAACTACCACGTAGTATGACTCAGCAAAGCCAACAATGGCGTCGTACCCCACTGCACAGGGAGAAGTATGTGAGTTGCTTTATTAGCCTTCTTTGGCATTATGATCAACAGCGGCAGCAACTTATACACAAAAGTACTCGATCATCATCGTTACCATGAGGCAGACATTGTCCCCCAGATAGTTGGTCTTGTCATTAACACCATTGTCACCAGACTCACCACCACTATCAGCAGCAGCAGCGGCAGCACGAACAGATTAATGACATGAGGTAAGCATTGCCATAATGATGCATTATCATCAGAATCATGATGAATCATGTTCATGAAGCATCCATCACTAAACGTCTTTGATACAACAGTCGTGATCAGTTTCATCTTCCTGATGCCTGGATCATCGTCGATGCGAGCGCCAGCATCGGCATGTGGTAAGTTTGACATTACTGACATCCGAAAATGAGCATTATCATCTGGTAATCATCATCATCATCATCATCATCATCATCATCATCATCCATCATTGGCATGAGGGAAGCATATTCAGCATGTCGTAGCAATCATCAAGGTCATTGAGGTCATGAAGATGATGAAGATCATCGTTGTCATTGTCATTTACCAGTATCATCATTGATGTTGTTGTCATTGTCATATCAATCACCATCATACTTACCATCATTATGATGGTATGAGATGGGAACCACTACCAGGATGTAGTTGTCATCATGATGTTCGTACTCAGTCAGTGCAAGGTAAGCACCTTCAGGCTTCAGCAGGCCATAATTGTCATAGTCAGTATCATCATCAGCGGTAGGCTTTGGTAGGACTCACTTTACCATCGTCATCATCATCATCATCATCATCATCATCATCATCATCATCATCATCATCATCATCATCATCATCGTCGTCATCATCATCATCATCATCATCATCATCATCATCATCATCGTTGTTGTTGTTGTTGTTGTGACTAGTGAATAACTGTTATCATCATCATTGATTCATCATCATCATCATCATCGTTATCATCATCTGAGCATGGCCACCATGATGATCATTATTTCTTCCTATGATCATCCTGTGCTGAAAGTTGCCAATAAGAACCGAACATAGGCACGTCTACCTTTCTGCCACCACACGTGGCGCAACTAATGACCCCTCAGCCCTCCCAGTTGTGGAAGAGCACCAAACATGCAAAATGACAGCATGTTTTTCTATCATTTATCTGGGTCTCGTCATACGCGTCACAACTCGGGTTGCACCAGGGTCATGAAGTTCCCCCGGGTGAGCAGATCTTACCCTGCCAGCTGACCTGAAGGGACTTATAATCCCTATGTTGTGTGTAATCTGTTCTAGTCTGTGCACTTTGTGTTATCTTATTTCTTAAACTTTATGCACTTGATGCTATGGACTTCACGAGCTGTGTATTTTATCATCTTTCTTTCTTTCTTTCTTTCTTTCTTTCTTTTGGGGGGGGGTGGGGGACGGGGGAAGCAAACTACAAACACAACGATTTCTTCCGTTTCTCGGTCTTTGTATGTGTGCCATCCTTGTGTAGGGGCCATTGTCCCCCTCGTTTCCTGCCTCTTGCTGTCTTAGATTCACTTGTGCACGTGTAGCTGAGTTCGTGTGATATCACATGCGAGGATCGACAACTATCTGGGCTTAGCTCCAGTGCTTGCCTCGGCTTCTTTTCTTGCTCTTATATCACCGGCTCGTCTGTTCCGATTTCATTCCTGCAGGAACCATCATGACCGGTCTCGTCTCTCCTGCAGTTCTTGGTGAGCCCCACCTCTTTATCCTGGTTGGACCGTCGAGGTGTGTGGTGCCTCTCGCCAGGAGACAGGAGCGTGTCAGGGTTAGACCAGTTCATAAAGTGGAATCCCTAACCTGTGCATTGTTTGCCTTTACCAATTGCCTGCCAGCTTACAGTATTAGATTGCTCAACACTGCTGCTCATTTCCTTGCAGTCGTGCTCCTCGTTGACTCCTTGGAGCAAGGGGACGATCCCATGCAGCAAAATTTTGGAGCTGCAGCGGCCGCGGAAATAAAGCTTGAGCGAAAGTGCCGAAAGGGGATCGAAACACACAGCCTTGGTCTCTCAATAAGTTAAGCCAGCTAACTTAGCCAGGGGGTGAGGTCCAGTACGTCCTTCCACAGGGAAGTAAATTAATCAATGCCGTCCACTCGGGCCTCTCAACCATAATGGGGAGGAGCGTGTGCAAGTATCCCATGTAAGTTTTTTTGACTTGCAAAAACTGTTGTGTAACCCAGTTTACAGCGCACTGCAAACTGTTTGTTTGTGGTCAAATACCTTGTCTTGCTTTTCGCTAATCGTCAAATTGCCTTGTTGTTCCTTGCTATGTTTGGGTGCGGGTTTGAACTGCGATGATCAGATGGATTCAGATGCGGCTGGGGCGAGAAGATAAAACGGTGTATTGGTACTGGACAGGAACGTTGTGTTCGTACCCGGAGTTGGAGACCCTCGCACGGGTGGAGGAATATCATGCCTTGAGGATGCTGTCGGAGTCGCCGACGGTTATCAATGAGTTGTCGAGAAATGTCACAATATTCAGGGACCGGGAGACAAACCAGGTTTTGACAGATTACAATAAGGAACCTGTCTCTAGCCGTTGGCACCCCTGCGATCACACAGTCTACACCCTTGATGGCCCGAGATTAATTGCCAAGGTGAGTAATTGAGTGATCGAGCAGACCTTAAAAAAAAAAAAAAAAAAAAAAAAAAAACACCCTTTACTTCATGATGACAATCTCAGCAAGAGAGCCAGAAGGATTGCAATATGTTGTCTTTGTGTGACATCGTTTTCTTTCCCGCGGGAAGTAATACTCCAGGTTGGTGGACGAACTAAGCTGCTCTTTCACTCTTTTGTCTGCTTTTCTGCACTGTGCATAGATCCCTTCATCCTCTCACCATTCCCGAACTTGTCTGCATTACCTGTAGTACTCTGTGCTCACGAAACTAAGCAGAAGCAGAAGAAGAAGAAGAAGAAGAAGAAGAAGGCGGAGCCATTTAGATTTACCTGGGATCAAGCCTCGAAGGCTGCACAGCACATACAGGGCTAAACGTTTGACAAAGCATAAGGAAACAAACGATGGGGATGGCAGTCAAATCTAAAGGTAACGTCAAGGAAATCGAGGAGGTGGAGAGAGAGAGAGAGAGAGAGAGAGAGAGAGAGAGAGAGAGAGAAGAGAGGGAGGGAGTTTGTGTTTCTAATTCTCTTGGAATGTGATGGTTGTCCTGCAGTCACGTTCATCTCTTCTTTCCCATCTTTTGCTCTTTCCTGCCGTTGTCTGCTTGCACGTGTCAGTGCTGAGTGCGAAGGGTGAAACTCCTTACAGTGCTTGAGGTGAGAAAAACGTTGATTGACAAATTATGAAATCACCTCGCAAGGAAGCGACCCCACACAGTGGCTATGTGTAGCTTTTTACCAGCTACTTGTGACTGACTGGATTGCATTGAAACCAAAGGGAGAATTCTACAGGCATATGCCTGGATTTAAGCTTCAGGGTTGATTGTTTCTTCCTACGCGATAATAACCAAGTCTATGCTAGAAGCTATCGTCAGTGTACATGTTGTATTGATGAGATCAGACGTGTCCACTGAGGAAGCGCTCGAGGATGGAGATGGTCTGTCAGAATCGGACCCTTAGAGTCAGTATCAACATTCAGAAGGCAGGTGTCATCCACTCTCCTCTTCCACTCTCCAGGAAGCATGTATGTGGGGTATCGGTAGAGCCTAACTGTTGGTGTGTGTTTCTACTGGAGGCTATGCTAGTGGTCATCACAAGGGGCAAGAGTGAAAAGGCCAAGGGGCAGGTTGCTGCTGATGCTCAAAAGTCGATGGCACTCCATAGCTGAATCTTGTCTTTCTTCTTCGGTTTCGTGCACCTGTGCTAGGTGACAACGGGATTTGGCGAATACATGCGAACCAGGATCAACATTGTGCAGAGTGTGTTCCACTTGCATTCGACGACAAAGGTCGCTTTCTCATACTATGTGAAAGGTGGGTGCGCTCTTCACCGTCATGATTGCATAAGAAGACAAACACGAGTGCCAATGCCGCATTCCTTCCTCCCGGCCTTGTTAGTCCAGAAATAGCTGTGGACGAAGTATTGCGTCATGTATGATATATTTATTGTGCCAATATTGCAAGGTTTGACGTCCTGATCGTCTAGTATATACTGCAATATGAACATGTATCGTCTCTGAGATCAATGATCATGGCAACGTTCATTAATATGAACATATCCAGTGAAGTTCATACATGTGATCTGTTAAACGACCAGTTTGTGCGAGTGGCTTTGACGGTATACGTGGTAAAGTCTGCTCTGCTTCGGGCCTGGGACGGTAGCAAAAGCGGCAAGCCGCTTTGAAAAGGCACAGTTGCATGCTCGCCAGTCTTGGGAGGTAGCTTCGTCAACCTAGGCTCGTGTGAACTGGTGATTTAATGCAATCAGCAAGATATTACTGGCCTGTTTGTATACCCTTTATATCTGCCTCTCCTTGGTTACCTCTCCTTTTTGCTCTCCTCCAAATTGCTGTATCTCCTACCTTTTCTGTGCATGTGTCCGTGACCTTGAGGATTTGGTAGTTCTCGTACTCTCTGAGGGCAATTTCCTGTCCATGAGCACATGTATAATATATGTCTCTGACGAGAGCAGCCGGATCCTGCAAGCTGACACGTACGTTGTCGTTACGGGTACGCAGTACTACGCACCCTCGTGAACAGGGTGTTTTACTCTTTGGGGAAGAACCTTGGGTTTCTAGTCCCTGTGATGGTGCTGTAATAGAAGCTTGTTGTCGTCAATGTGGTTGTTAAACGGCCAGTGCCTCCGATCCTCTTTTTCCCGACACGGATTTGGATTTGCACTGCACACCAATGAAACACTGCCAAACCATTCTGGTTCATTCACCCGAAATCTTCGGATCAGGTCAATTTCGATTCTCAAGATTGCCTGGGCGAGGTGCTGGCGGTTTAAACCACCAGTACCTACAAAAGTTGTGTGGGTGAGCCGCTCGTCCTGTTTGGGCCTGCCGTGCCGGTCTAATTCATTCATTACGAACAGCGACCACACTGCAGTGATAGCTGGGAAAGCTAGTTAGTGGTGGTTTAAAGCTGGTCAGGGCTGTTCGTTGACGGCTGGATGGGCGAGGTGCTGGCGGTTTAAACCACAAGTACCTACAAACGTTGTGGGGGTGAGCCGCTCGTCCTGTTTGGGCTTGCCTGTGCCAGTCTAAATTCATTCATTAGGAACAGCAACCGCACTGCAGCGATAGCTGGGAAAGCTAGTTAGTGGTGGTTTAAAGCTGGTCAGGGCTGTTCGTTGACGGCTGGATGGGTGTGGTGCAGTGTGTTGTGAAAAAAGCGCTTTGTTCCGTGTGCGGTGGCATGAAAGTGAAAACGAAAATGAAGATGAACTCTATTGGCTGTGCTTTTAAGCTCATGGATGAAATAAATGCGAGCTCATCAGCGGCAAAAAGTCACCTTTTGCTAACATTTGGCTGCGCATGTGTGACCGTTCCAGGCAGTCGATACGAGTACACAAACTACGATTACATCATGGACGAGGCTGCGACCGAGGAGCCAGGCTCAAGTTTCTGCTCGATGGTTCGTCTGGGCACTTTTCGGCCATTTGCTGAGAAGGCGGTTGCGAATCTGATTGGTTGGCGGATCGACGAGTACGATAAACTGCCTCCAACTATCAAGGATTGTTTGTCCTCGCAGAACAACCTTTGGCGGGAAGCCCCGAAGAACCTCGACGAGATCCGCAGACTGCAGAAAGTCTCCTTTGCTCGCTCCTTCAGCACAAGCCGGTCGTCCTCCAACTCCTCGTAGTGTCCAAGCAATCCTGTTCCGTACCAGATCAGTACCATTTTTGTGTGCAAGGTCAGTTTCTCTGTCTTCATGCGCTGCCAAGTAGCAGTGCTCTCTGTGAAATGAAGGCTCCTTGGGCCCTTTTTTTTCAATCTCATTCTGCACTTTTCTTAAGGTGCGAGCTCGCTCGCATCAGACTCACTGGTGATTCGAACCAGCATAGCATGTGCTTTCTGCGTGTGTGGGGAAAAAACGAACTCCCCGTGCATCGGTCTTTTGGGAGTTGAATTCTTTTTCCGAGCAGGATTTTTTGTGGAAGAGAGCGGCTCGGTTCAGTCTTCCACTGGCTTCAGTATTGCTTTTCTTGGTAACGGCGATTCGACCTTTTATGTCGAACTGTGAACAACGACTCTGCACTTTGGTAAGCGGCGTTAGATGAATCCTTGTGTGCAATCTGCATTTTTGTCTCCATAGTCTGCTTGCACAATGCCGACATTGATCAGACCAAGGATGAAAATCCCTAGTCTCAAGAAAGTCCAATGCTGCACATTATTTCAAATGAGGCCCGTGCTCTCGATCAGTCCAAGTGACGTTAGTGCCTGGAGTATTGCATGCTGCAGATGTCATAAATGATAAGTATCATTTTGGAAGCTGCGTGTTTATTGGCAGATCAGAGGGTGCCATTGGTATGTGGGGAAAATGACCCCCCACTCTCTCGATAGGTTCGCTGTGTGGCAACGACCTCTGGTGAATGTCCATTGTCGTGTCAACGAGAGAGCACGCTCAACTCCCATTCTCATCTCGGCTAGCATCCCTTCGTATAGTTTTCGGGCGCTGGCATTTTTATTTATCTCTGTATATTTATCCTTTTTGCCTTTTCGTGTTCGGCCTGTGCACAGGCAAGATGATACTGTGGCGGTAAWGGCAGCAGATCACTTTCGTAATCGCCATTTGCTCCTCGTGCCTGCGACCCGATGGCGGGACTGACTGCAGTGTCACCCTAGCGTCCCCGACTGCTGTGATTTAGCAGTCGTGAGTAGCGATAGAACTAAAAGGTTGAAATCGCGTTTGATCTCCAAACTTATTGTTTTTGCCTCTCTTCGTCTCGGCCAAGTTTTGAGCACCCGTTTACACTTCTGAGTCACCGCTGGCAGCAATAAACAGTGCACCGCAAGTTGCGCTGGCTGTATTTGTCTCCTTTCCAAGGCATGCAGGTGAATATACACTGTAATGATAGTAGTAGTAACCCASAAGCTCCTCTCCTGCCTCTCGCGGAGGGCAATCGCCGATTGCCCCCACCCATGGCTAACACCGAAAGCCTTCCATTTGTCACCTTCGGGCTAAGGCAAGTCCGTCCTTTTGCGGGTAGGTGAGGTCAATCCCTGATTGCCTCCATCCATGGCTGACGCAGCAGCCCCCCAAACCCTGCCATTTATCACCCTAGCTGAGGCAAGTACTATTTCTTGCTGCTGCTGCTTCTCTCTCTCTCTCTCTCTCTCTCTCTCTCTCTCTCTCTCTCTCTCTCTCTCTCTCTCTCTCTCTCACACACACATCTTCCTCCTCACACCATCATCTCACCTCCGTCC